GATTATATAAACACTTAGCTCACCCTTTCATGACTACTGCAAATAATATCTATATATGAACTACACACTATTTTATTACATATTACCTCTGGACTGGTACCTTGTTTGTTTTTGACCACTACATTCAGCAGATCATCTTTATCACATTCTTTAAAAAAATAAATAAATCATGCACAACAAACACAATATTCTTGGTTTAAAATATGCGAAATGACAGTATCCTAAGGATGTCTGCATAGAAATCATGACCCTTCAATACTTGATAAAAGTTACAATAATAATAATTAAAAAAAAGGTTGATGGCATATTTTATAAACCTGAAAGTGTGATCATATAAATTACAAATGACAAACAAAAGCAGCACAGCACTAAAACTGTTGACCCTCTTGGCAAGCAATAAATAAATAAATTAATTAATTAAGCTTATCGTGTACTCTTTTGATTCATTTAATTCTCACATTAAAGCATAACCCAATCATGTTGAGTACTTTGTTGCAATCAGAATGACATAGTTGTATAGTTTCATTACTGAGTGAAATAGTTTTAAGGAACTCCAGTAAAGACAAAACTGTCTACAGTACACCTTTACTTTAATACATGACTCCATCAAAATACAAAAACTGAAAATACAATATGCACAGTTCAGTGTACAGTCACAGCTGCTAGACATGACGTAGCCCACCTTGACGGGCTTTCAGAAACAAGGTGCAGACATTATTGTAATCTACTTTTAGTTGTGTTGTAAGAACCATTTTGCATGTGCAAAATGAAGTACAGCGTGTGGGGGCTTCTGGTTGAGTTGAGGGACTTGTTGGTGTAGTAGGAAACAATCTTGAAAGTGCAACCTCAACTCCCCATGACATTTTATAACCCATTTCCAAAGTCTTTCAAGCTTTCAGCCACACACCTGGTATTTGAAATGAGGATTTTATCTGTGTGCAAAACGTCAGTATCGCAATTACAATTCTTTATGTGGACTTTTCATCACATTGTTGTTTTACTGTTCGGTAGATGGCCACACATTTTTTCTCTGGAACAGTGACAGTAATTAATGAGCACTGTGCACTGTTTCTTTATGGATTTGTTGTGTTCCAAGGCCTTTGCCACTACACCAATCAGGCATAATATTATGACCATTGGCAGCTGAAGTGAATAACATTGACTATCTGTTACAGTGGCACCTGTCAGTGTGTGGGGGGTATATTAGGCAGTAAGTGAACATTCAGTCCTCAAAGTTGATGTGTTGGAAGCTGGAAAAATAGGCAAGTGTAAGGATCTGAGAAACTTTGACAAGGACCAAACTGTGATGGAAAGCATTTACTGCAGCATGACTAAGTCATCTTCAAGAACTGACATCCACAGAACAGTATCACTTTTCTTTCTGTTTCTTGTGAAAGCAGGTGTATATGTGACTGGCTTCACGAGTCATGAGGAACGCATCCTTTCCACAGCACCTTGTTTGCAGAAGTGTTGTCTTGTGACATCCAACAAATTCTATTTTCAATTTTTAGAATTTACCATTTGCTTCTTTTCAGCAAATGCTAGTGAATGTCAATAGAGATATACAGTAAAAGCACCTTTATATTTCTGGACATGTGGTATTCAGTGCAGTAACTCAGGGACAACTTTCAGTTTGGATTAATCTGCTGATTGTTTCAGAAAATAATGAGAAATACTGATCACAGTTACCAAGAGCCAATGTGGTGTCTTTCTTTCAGCAAAAATTTTCAGTTTCAGTTTGGTTACTGTATTTTAAAACAAAGAAAAACAGCACACCCTAAAATGACATTTGTGATAAGCAAATTATTAACATAGTTCTAATGTTCTGTCGATTAACTGATTTGATATACTGTTGGGGAGTTCAATGTGTAACTACATTTTATGCTCTATGTCTGTTGTATGCAAAATCTTGAAATAGCTATAATGGGGATCATTGGGACTGAACTGCCTGCTATGGACACACTGTACACACAGCGCTGTCGCAAAAGAGCAGAAAACATAATCAGAGACCCACTCCACCCAGCTCACACTCTGCTCAGACACAAAAACTGCACCTACAACCTCAGGCACAGCAGAGCAGACAGAATCATCACATACAGAAGAAGATTTTTCCCAGCTGCAGTAAGACTGATGGCAAATACAAAATGTGAAAAACCTGTGCAGTAACCCCTCATTACTCTACTAAGTAGAAGACCATATTACAATTGCACTATGTGCAATACCATGTGCAATATTTGAAACTCCCCATTTTACCTGCTATCTTATTCCTGTATCCACAATTTTATCAACTATTTTGTATTCTTGTGTATTCTTGTTTTTCATATTTTGTATTCTTGAGTGATCATATTAGACTAGGTGTTCGTTCTTTTGGCTTTAAACTCTGTACTTGACTCCAGGAGAGCCCTGCACAAGAATTCCTATATGCTTAGACTGTCTGTTTATGCATAAATAATAAGGATAATCACCTTTATTGGCCAAGTATGTTACACACAAGGAATTTGTTTCCGGTACAGAACTGATGGCAGCCATCTGCGGTGACAACTCAACCGATGGCTCTAACCATCGGGGGCAATGGGGGGTTCAGTGTCATGCCCAAGGACACTTTGACACGTGAACTGGAAGCACCAAGATTCAAACCTTCAACCTTCTGGTTGGGAGACAACTGCTCTACCTCCCGCACCACTGTCGCCTCCCGCATAAATGGCAAATCTTGAATCTTGACTCTACCAAGTCCTTAGCCCCCACCGTGCCACCCCCTTGTCTCACCTCTCCAGGTCTGTTGCCTCCTCGCAGCTGCAGCTGCTCATACCTCAGCCGGACCTTGCCCCTCCTCCCACTGTCAAGAGGGGTTTTCAACAGCCCACAGCTCCTGAGCAGTCACCGCCCACTTGTCCTCTCAGCCTCATAGTGGACCAGGTCAGGAGGGAGTTAAGGAGGATTAAGGCCAGGAAGGCCACAGGCCCTGACCACATCAGCCCCAGGGTCCTCAGGGAGTGTGCAGACCAGCTCAGTGAAGTGGTCCTGTACATGTTTAATCTGAGTCTTAGCCTGGAGAGAGTTCCAGTTCTGTGGAAGACATCCTGTGTGGTCCCAGTTCCTAAAATAACTCATCCCAAGGACCCAAACCATTACAGACCCGTTGCCCTGCTATCCCACCTGATGAAGACCATGGAGAGGATTGTCCTCAGCCACCTCAGTGCCCAAGTGAGCTCAGCGCTGGAGTTTGCATACTGACCTGGCATCACACATACACATCAGACTTCAAGTACAACTCCCACCAGTGTCATCTACAAAATTTCTCAGACAGCACTGCTATTGTTGGATGTGTATCTTGGGGGGATGAGGGGGAATAAAAGGGGATTGTTACTGACTTTGTGGAGCGGTGTGAGAAAAATCACCTGGTCCTGAACACCAGTAAGACAAAAGAGACGGTGATTGACCCCCGGCGGAAATCACCAGCACTCACACCAATGAGCTTGTAGGGCTCAGATATTGAGATTGTGGACACCTTTAAATACCTGGGTGTCCACCTCAACAATAAGCTGGATTGGAGCAACAACACAGATGCCCTGTACAGGAAGGGCCAGAGCCGCCTCCACTTGTTGAGGAGACTGAGGTCCTTTGGTGTGCGCGGGGCATTCCTTCAGACATTTTATGATTCTGTGGTGGAATCTGCAGTTTTTTACGCTGTTGTGGGTTGGGCAGGGGGTAGCACGGTCAGGGACAGAAAGAGACTTAACAAGGTGGTTAAGAGAGCTGGTTCTATCCTGGACTGCTCTCTGGATTCCATCGAGGAGGTGCCAGACAGAATGATGCTGGTAAAGCTTACATCCATCATGCATAACTCCTCCCGTCCCCTGCACCACACAGTGGAGGCTCTGAACAGTTCTTTTAGCATGAGACTGTTACATCCCCAGTGTAAGAAGGAGCGTTACCGCAGGTCATTCCTCCCCACAGCAATCAGACTGTACAACACATCACTGCAGTGATAAGCTAGGTGAAATTATGAGGGACTATGCAATAATCTACTGAGGTGCAATATTCAGCTCCTGGGGGTGAAGTGCATTGTAAATAGGCTCATGTGTAATATCTTGTTCCTGATCTCTCTAAAATACTGTACATTTCCCTGCTTTATGTATTTTTGACTAGTTGCTCAGAGATCCTTATGGCTGAAACATAGGTTTCTCTCCCCCATTGTGGCATTAATTGTGTGAGTAATATTCGATTGTTCTTGATTTCCTGGTTGTTTAGTCTCTACTGCTGTTTCTGATTCTCTCCAGTGCTGCTCTGCCCCATTTTTAGGTGCCTTGATTTGCTTATTTGTGCTGAGAAAAATGTAATGTTCTGATGACGCTACTTGTGTGTATTGGTTCTAATGCTTTGTTGCCTTTATGTAACTGTTTATTTTAAGACTAAGTGTTCTTTGTTACTATGTACTTACGTACGCATGCAACGCACGGAGTGTCAGCAAGTTACAGCAGCTGTGTCCTCGTTGTGTTCTTTTCCGTGTTTTTATGAAGTTCTGTTCTTACAGTATGTGTCTGTTCTTAAGATGATATGTCGGTTGTTCTCTATTGCTGCTGTAACACAGAAATTTCCCCACTGTGGGATCAATAAAATACCTACTCTATTCTACTCATAAATAATGTTAAAATAAACTAAGTTGAGTAAAATGTACATTACTCTTTGAAAACTAACAAAGTAGTATTATAAAGCAGCATGACATGAAAATATTGGCATAAAACAATGTATAAGTACTTTAAATTTGCACTTAAGAACAGTACTTAAATAAATATACTTCCATTGTTGGTTATGTCCAATGGCTGCATAACACTAATACTAAATTAATAAATGGTTTGACATGTTACTATTAACAAAGCACAGAAGCTGGTTGGGTGAAATGATTTTTCTACTTGTTTATTTAAAAAATGGCATGTACAAAGAAACATGAAACAGAAAATTAACAAAAAAAAATTAAAATAATGGGAACTATGTGACAGTGCCTTTTGTAGCACTGAATTGTGATTTCCAATCACAGAGTTCCTAAAACCCTGGGCACAAAATCCTGAAGTGGTTCATGCCACTGATATGATTTATTTACTTGCAGTTAATTCAAAAGCACAGTTAACTTGTCAATAGCATTCTACATTTTGTTTCTGCTGTTCTAGATAAAAGTTAGGAGAGCCAGCTTAAGGCCACTGAGCCAAGAGAACACATATGAATTTTGATGATGTAGCCACCAGTCTGAATAAACTGAAAGTAAAGTTAATTAGCGCTGTGTGGAGCATGAATCACTTCCAAAAAAGTGGACAATATCCTTTGGAAACCAGGTAATGGGTTCTTTAATTTGGAAACATGACTTTCTCTCTCAGCACAGACAAATTCGAGAGCATGTTTGGGTTGAAACACAATGCATACATGTATGCAGCCACAGAGGAACACACACTCTTACAAAGTAAAAACTAAAACAGGTTCATTTATTTATAAACATTGAGGCGGCATATTAATGCTGCAAGTGGATAGAATCAGCTCTTCCTCTCTTCCCAGTGGAATAAACACCACCACCATTCTTAAAATAATCCATCATCCCAGTGGCCCTTCACTGGCCCCTTTAATCTCTGTGCAAGGCATGACCAACAATACACAGGTCTGGGTGTGATGCAGGGCGTGGTATAGTTCTGAGGTCTGATTGGCTACCACACAGTTCATCATCCCTGGTTGGTTCAGCATTCAGCCTATAGAAATGAAAAGAGGAGGCTGTCATTAGCACTTAGGGAAGTGAGCCAGGTGGGTTTGCATCAGTTTTAAACAGGAATGGTCTATTACTGAGATTATCTTGTAAAGTGACAGAGTTCTCTCTGGAAGAAATTGTACAAGACCACACAGGTTCATAAACCCCTAAAATTGGGCTTTCACTTTTAATGTAAGATTTTGGGATTGTTATTGGTGACCGTGACAAATAGTCCTTGATATGCTCAGCATTTAAGATTAATGCATTTCATGCAGTTCTGGCAGGATAATGTTTCTGTCAAACATGTACAAATGCTGTACTAGAATGTTCTGCAGGTGCTCCTGGTTCAAACGATGTAAGAATCTCATACCTAAGACTTTACTTTTGGAGGAAAACAAAGTGCTCCTTTTCTCTGTGTCTGTCACACAGACGCACTCCTTGTCACTCCACCTGTCTGTCTCTTTCTGTTATTCTCTCTGTCTTTGTTTTTCTCTGTCACTTGCTTTGCTCTAGGACTTTTATAAGCATAAGCATAAACTTTATTGCCAAGTATTTCGAGAACACAAGGAATTTTAATTCCAGCTCAATGGCCCTGAATGGCACATTCTGATGTATTAGGTCTTGATTAAGCCAAATTCCACATCATTCTCTACATGATGCTTCAACATGCTGTCACTGGATCATATTTCATTATGTGTGGACAAACCATATTATTTACATAACACAAGAATTGTACAGTCAATATAAGAATATGAATAGAGCGAGAATGAGGAAAATGTTCATGTACAATAGCTGGGAGATAATGACTCATGGAGGTTTAAAAATTTTATATACAAACATACAGTTTTACAGACAAAACTTAAAAAGCACTAGTGTTTTTGGTAAACACTTTAATTTGATTAAACTGTGAAGTGGATCAAGTGGATCTTTGTCAGTTACAGAACTGTTAAAATTGTTAAACATTTTGCACATTAATTGCTTCTTATAAACTCTACCAACTTACATGCTGTTTTTTATTTTCCATGTAAAAAGCTTACTGTGTTTATACAGTCCCTGAAATGGTGGATGATTATCTGTGGCACCAAATGCCAGGAGGTGTGAGGTGATTAAAACCAACGACCTCCAAGTGAGTAAAACATATCAATTTTTAACATTTTTGACTTTTGTCATAAAATACAATTAAATTCTACTAAATTATACATAGCCAATTTTATTTAAAAAAAACTGAGTCAAATGCAATTCAAATTTGTTGAAATCAGCTCAGTCTGATTCCAAACTGCACATAGTCATTTTTATTACATAAAGGTTACTAATATTATATAAGCCCAAACCCAGTTTTTACAGTGTACTATACAGTATAGTATGAAAGTAAGGTACCTGTAAACACACAATTAAAGATGCAAGAGAAAGCCATACTTAAGGACTGGCGATGTGGAACATATAAATTCTGAAAACACTCACCCCTGTGAATATATTGCTGGATCACTCCCACAAGTCTTAGCCACTGAGATGTCTAGTGATCTTGGTGGCAGACTTAGACTTGGCCTTCGGTCTGAATGACTACGTTGAATGAAGGGTCGAGGTCCAGATACAGGAAATCTTCCATGATTCTCTAACAAATGTGAGAGAGAAGACAATCCAGCGGAGGCCCATGCTTGAGGTGGCTGGGGAACTGAAAAGGGCTGGGCCTCAAATAGGGATGCAGATGCAGGGCAGAACACTGAACGTGCATTACTGATCAGCCGAGCACTAGATAAGTCTTCACTGCTGTTTTCTCTTGACCACTTTTGTACTTTTGGTGAAGCTGGTGGTGATGGTGTTTTGAAAGGGTACAAGGAAACTGAGTTTGAATTTAAGATGTTCTGCTTTGCAATAGGTGGGCTGGGGAGCTTCCTCTGAATTGCTGGTGGTGTGGGGAGCTTCCTCTGAATTGCTTGTGGTGCGGGGAGTTTCCTGTTAATGTGGGGGCTAGCTGAAGATGGTGTATGAGTAGGTTGCCTTTTGAAATTGTGGGAACTGGGAAGTCTTCGATGTGAGTTGCTTTGTGCAGAAGGAGTGGATGGTAACATTCGACCCCGAGACATGGATGGGGTGGCAGGTGGTTGGCTAGTCACTACTGGTGAAGGAGGCACAGTGGAAACTATAGTGTTAGTTCCTGGCACTGAAACATTATCACCAACTTGTATTTCAGCTGATTCTTCTTGATTGGCAGATGAATTTGTTGGTGGATGACTTGTTGACAGTCTCTCTGACTGGGAGTCTGAAGAGTGCCTTAGGTGCATTAACTTTCTGGCTTGCTGGTACAAGGAATCCTTTTGCTTTCCTTGGTCTGCAGGTGCCTGGGTTTGAACATTTGTTTGGTTGACCTTTGACAGAGCAGATATGCCTTGTTGATCTGTTCTAGCAAGGGAAATACTCTTTGCAGCTTGTGGAAGACCTCCTTTGCTTGGAAGCACTGTCACTGACTGAACTGAGGCCCTCAGTCGTTGTGATACTGCAGCCCTTTTTAATATAGGTGATTTGCCAACTTTTGTAGCCCCATCATCTGTTACACCAGCTGAAAGACATTGAGCACCTTCAAAGGAATTATCCATTAATACTTCCAGTGGAGGTGGAGGAAAACTCTCCCGATCTAAATCCTCTGTTTTCTCAGATAAGATTGATTCAGGTCTACAGCTGGTTATCCCAGCACTAAGCACAGCTTCTACATTTCCTAAACCAGGTAGCACAGGAACACCACACTTCCGTACTCCTTTGAGAGGCCCCAAAACTTTAGAACTGTCTAGCTCATCTATTCCTTGACTGAAAGTAGCAATCAATTTTTTAACAGAATTTCTGCCCATATAAAGGCCTGCAGCTGTTTGTGGTGATAAAGGAGGACTAGGTGGTGGGGTGGCTTTTACTGAACCTTTTGATATTTTTCTGTCCTTCTCTTTATCTTCTTCCAAATCACTTGCTCCCTCTGGCTTTCTGCTGTTGCAGCTTGTAAGGCCTGCTTTGTTTCTAAGTGACTGGAGAATGCTGTTCTTCTCTAGTAAGAAATGTTTGTGATTTATTGTTGGAGACTTTATTGATGAGGTTCCTTGATTTTGTTTAGATGGAACAGTCTGTCTGTTTCGACCTGTGTTACTTTTACTCATTTTTTGCAATTTCTGGTTTAAATCCTTCTGGGTCCTTTCTAGTACAAGCAGAGTAGGATCTTCACCTTTGCTTTGTAGGGATTCTGCTGACTGGGAACATTGCTCCTTAGCCACCAGGGTTTTTTTTACCACTACCTTCTGAATAGGTGCTGCTGTTTGATGCCTCCTTGCAGATAATTCCTCATCATCCATCCACTGATGTCTACTGGTTTTTGGACTGCCCGTTACCTTTGTTTGGGCACCAGAGTTCTGTGATGTGACAAACTGTATCCTACCGCTTATAGCATTTTTCATTTTGACAGTCATTTCTACATTTTGAAGATTCTCTATGCATTTTGGGGGTAAATGGAGTGGGTGTTGCTGTTTATGGTCTTCAAGTGAAGAATTAGATTGTTTTCTAAAGCCTACTTGTGCATTTACCATGCCTCTATCCATCTCTCCATCATCATCATTATCTTCTTCCTCCCCATCATCTAAGGAGATTGAACCTAGCAATGAGTCTCTTTGGTCATTAGCCTTTATGGTACATGTAGAACCTAATGGGTTCAGCGATGTGAGGGAAACAGTTGGACTTATTTGACTCATAAGCTTGTGCCTTGACACTCCTTGCCTAGTATTCATGGAGGTGAATTCCATTGGACTGACAGGAATTGCTCTATTTGTCCCAGTGGACTCACAGCTATTTTGTCTGTGGTGTCTTTCAGAACCCACAAGGGATTCACTCTCAGCCCCAATACCACTATCCTCACTAAACAGAGCAGAGTCCTCTGGTCCAGGTTTGAACAGAGAGGCCATTTCAATATGAGAGAACAGTTGAATTAGCCTAGTCTCTACAGCATGCTTGACCTTCAGTTTTTCCTTTAAAAGCTCTGAGACTGAAGCAAAATACTCCAATGCCTCCACCAAAGCAGAGTCCCCAATTCCACCAACAGTCTGACTCACATTTTGCATTCTATGTGTGGTGTACTGAAGCAGCTGCTGCAACAAATCCGGTGGGGGCTCAATATTAGCACGGCCAGCTTTCAGAGGTGAAGAAGATGAGAGGTTTTTCATTTGACTTGGCCAAGAAAGATGTTCTCCATTTTCTTTTAAAACTTCTTCTCCCTCATCTGCCATTTCTTCCAGTCCCTGAATTATTTCCTCATAGCATAGGACCATAAAGGCAACCATAGGCTGCACTAACACCTGAGTTTGGGCTGCTTGTTCCAAAAGTCCAAGTATAACATCATATTTGTTTATACCAGGATTCAAAAAGCCATAAGCAGCTTGATGAGCTTTAACCAGAGGTTCTGGGAAGTCCACATTTTGTTTTGTAGATAGATTGTCCTTGTCTTTCTTTTTAAGAACCTTCGTACCTCTTGTATTTTTCTTTACTTTTTTGACAGACTTTTTGTCTGTCACATCCTGCTTGTCAACATTATCTTTTCTCTGTGATGCTGTGTTGTTGACCCTTCTTTGACTCCCTGATTTATCCATGTTTACTGCTGCTGGGGATAGCTCAGGCACAGATCTCTTTTTTTGTGATGTTATATGTGTCATTTTTTGAAATACCTGGGTTTGTCCGGTTGCCTTCCTCTCCTTTGTGTCTCCATACGTTGATCTCGTTGAATTACAGTTTTCTCGATCTTGGACACTAAAATCTCTGGGGCTTTCTTGAGATGCAGGTGGCAGCATTTTCCCCTTCCTCATGAGAACAAGAGTCCCAGAATTATTACCTTTGGATGGTGAGCAGCCCATTTTAGATTTTTTTTAAGTACAAGATAATTGTAATTTCAGATAACAAATAGAGCCGTGCAGATAGTGTATTGAATGATGCAAAGAACTGTCAAGGTCCTTAGCCACCTGCTGTAGCTGTCGTTTTCAGATGGCTGAGGTTGTTGTGTCTAATAAAATCTGTTTCCACAGGGAAGCTACCAAAAAAAAAATATACTGATAAATCCATTTTACAAATCTTTTACTGCAGTCAAAGATAGGCAATAAATCCACAGATTAATTTTTAAAAATTCCTTGTAGCGTGTTCTGAAACACATCCTTCTCCACCTTACAAAGGATGAGCAGCTGAGAGGATTAGTGGGGCTTTCAGTGATTTCCTCAGTGTGCACATATGTCACGTGAAAGCATATAAAACCGTAAGCTCCTTTGGGTAATGAGGGCTGGCTGGCCTCCGGTGGTTTTTTACAGACTGGAAAAAAAAAATCTCCCTCTTTAGCCTTTAGCCCATTTCCATAGCACACAAAGGGTGGGATAACTTAATAAAATAAAAATGTTTCATTTTAAATGCATTAGAAAACACGCACTAATTATCACAATAATTATATTTTATCATCGATTATGTGACAGTTACTTTTCATGTTAACAAAAAAGGGATATCCTTATGTTTTCATTGGCCATATATTTCTAAAGGACTAAACAGTTAGCATGTTATTTTGGTGATTTACTGATTTTCTTTTCTTCTCTATCTAGCATGGGCAGCACGGTGGTTAGTGCTGTTGCCTCAGAGTGAGAAGGTTCTGGGTTTGAGCCCGGCCGACCTGGGGCCTTTCTGTGCGGAGTTTGCATGTTCTCCCCGTGTTTGCGTGGGTTTTCTCCGAATGCTCCAGCTTCCTCCCAAACATGTAGCATAGGTTGATTGGTGTCTCTAAATTGCCCGTAGGAGTGGTTGTGTGATTTGTGGGTGTAAAGATAGTTGCCCCCCCCATTTAATTTTGAACTAGTGTCATGAATGGGGCCAAAACTGCTGAGGAACCTACTGCCAAGAGTCTATTTGGTGCTTGGTCTGGTGTGCGTGTGTATGTGTTGTAAAAGAAAGAGGATTGTTCAGGCCGGTGTGGTCAGCCTCGCTCAATGCCTTAGGCATCAGTAGCTGACGCCAGCCGAAAAAGTAGTCAGTACGTGATGAACGAATGCACAGTACAGGCAAAGAGTGCGCTCCTGAAACTGACTACTGTTTTGTCTTTTACAGGTAAGCGGGTTGTGGGCAACGCACAAATAATAGATAGCAGTAGCGGTGATTCTTTGGTGCATTGGAGTGACGCATATCATGCGGAGTAGAGTGAACTGACGTGTGTATGAGATCGTGAGTGCGAGTCGCTACGTTGTGCTATCAAGATGGCGGACATGGGCCCGTGGCGACCGCAGTAGCTTGATAGGGAACTTGTCAATGTCTCTGTAATCCAAAATGGGAAATGTAGATGCTCTAGAATGCACACGGTTGTAACACGGGTATGGTTTGATTGAAGTGTGAGTGACATGGAGTGTCAAGCTGAACTGTGCACATGTGGACAATATACTAGCGCCAATTCTGTTACTGAGCTAAGGCTAGAATCAGTGTTGTTCGCATGTTGTATCTGGTTGGGAGCTGCACGGTGTACTCTGTAAATTGTATGTAGTTACCACATTAAGTGTTAAAATGCTTATTTTCGTTGTATTCTGGGTTAAAAGAAATTATAAATACAGTACAAGACATTGATTTAAGACCCATTTGTTCAATAAGTCAGTTCATGAGAGGATTAAAAACTGCTTAGAAACAACAAGTAAAAACTGTACTAAGTTGAGTTCATGTAAACACCACAGTATAAGGGTAAAATACATATAGTTTGGTCATTTCATGATGGTCATGTTCAAAATGATGTACCTGTCTGAATGTATAAGTGCTGAATCAGCCTTGTAATACACCTACAAGAAGAGTGGTTGTTTCTTGTGTTCGGCCAGTACTATTGTATGTGGGTTATTAGTACTTGAGCTAAGTTTAATTGTGTTATCTGGATATATGCAGCCGAAAAAGTAGTCAGTACGTGATGAACGAATGCACAGTACAGGCAAAGAGTGCGCTCCTGAAACTGACTACTGTTTTGTCTTTTACAGAAATAAATGTGTTGCATTAAGAGTTTTATGTCGGTTTCATTCAAGCCATTAATCTTACTCTTAATCCTCATAATAAGATGAAAACACTCATTTAAAATAATCGGTTACAGATGATGACCTCATTCAAGAATTCCTGTGGATGGACTGCTGCTGTAAAATGACACACGAGGTAAAGCAGTTGTTTTGGTGAAAGATGGAAAACCTTTGAAAATTTATGATGTTTACAATAAATTGACTTAAGCATTTCTCCTTAATTAATCAGTATCTTCTGGCCATGGCCTTTGTGTACTTCAAAAGAGCCCGCTTCACTTTTGCTGAATACACCAGGAAAATTTTTTTCATTGCATTGTAAGTTTTAGACAAGTATCAAAATTAAGCTTAAATGAAATGAAACTATCTCAAGTAAAACTATCTCATGTGCTCCATCTGTAGGTATCTTGCCAATACCATGGAGGAGGATGAGGAGGAGAGTAAGTATGAGATTTTTCCATGGGCGCTGGGCAAGAACTGGAGGAAGCACTTTCCCTGCTTCTTCAAGCAGCGAGACAAGCTGTGGGGTCGCATTGAGTACAAAGCTGCTGTGAAGAGGTGCACAGAAGTAGAATTGCCTGAGGAGAATGATAAATGGTTTTTTTTCTTTTTTTTTTTATGGGTCTTATTTTTGCTGTTCATGTCAATCTGTATTGCTTTGGTTTAATGCCAGAATTTTTTTTAAGTTACTTTTTTAGGGTCCTGTATGTATTTTTGTTCTTCTTTTAGGTGATGGCCATTGTGCCCTCTCACTTTGTGTGGCAGCGAGAGAGAGAGGAGCACCACAGTGGTGCCCAGAGGCAGTACAGTGATTCGTAGATTGTTTATATTGTTAATATAATAATAAACGTGAATCCACTGTGTTGAAAATTTTAACTCCCCATAACGCTAAATATATCTAGTATCTGCTCACTGGAACAATGAAGCAAGCTTTAAAATAACCTGACTGTAGCTACCTCTGCCTTTGTGTAGTGGACACTCCAACTGAAGAAAAAAACAAATTAAGTTTATGGTAATATTTCCTCCTGTACCTATCTTTTTAAGGCCGCCGTCATTTGCGATCTCCAGCAGTTGATCTTCTTGCACAGACCTGCTGGATTCACCTGGTTTGTTGACAAATGGGTTGCGGATCCATTCCTTGGCAGTTCGTGGGTCCTTTGTGGTTGGGAAGTAGCGCTCGAACTCTTTTAAAAGCAAAGACAGGTGATCGTGCACCAGCTGGGAGAATGAAGGCTCAGGCTCAGTCTCACCCAAAATCCCCGCTAATGTTTGAAACATGTCCAAAATGCCTCTGTTGACGCGCCGTCCCCACAAATCCAGTTTGGCTTTAAATGCAGCTACTTTATCTGCCAACTTGAAGACAGTTGTCATTTTCCCCTGAAGTGACAGATTGAGTTCATTGAGCAGGCTGAATATGTCGCACAAGTAAGCCAGTTTTGGCGCTCAAGTGACCGAGATGTAACCGAGAGAATACGGTCATTTTTCAAAATAAAAGATCATTCAGACTCAGATAATAAATAAAACGGAAATAATTAATGATTTCTTGTGCGGCCCGGTACCAATTGATCCACGGACCGGTACCGGTCCGCGGCCCGGGGGTTGGGGACCACTGCACTACAACATATAGCATAGTTACTCTGATGACCTTTATTCTCCAAATTATTTGCAGTAAGGAAATAAAATGACAATTTATGTCCAGGATTCCTTATTCGCTGAGCAGATACTTCACACACACTTCCTCAGTTTCACCAGGAATGCTGAAAATGGAAAAACAGATTTGAGTATTTATTTGCATCATATCTAAATTTTCACAATAGGGCTATGGGAAATATAACATCTGACCTGTGTGGCTGCTTTGTTGATGGTGAGGTCTGGCAATGTAGGGAACAGTCCTAAAGGTTGGATGCTGCTCTGTGGCCAACTCTTAAATACATCAATAAAGGGGCTGTCAGATAGGACACGGTGGGCGCTGCACTTCGCTCCACTATCAAACCCATTTGTTTCTATGTGTTGCGCAGTGGAAGAACATACAGTGCACTGTCCTGCATGCAGTCCCTGCACACTGCACTGAAGTTAAAAAAAGTTCAACTTGGCTGCAGCGCTCTGTGACGATACCTTGATGCATCCAATTGCAGAGAACCTTACAAACCACAAAGACAATGAAGGAGAAGCTGATTTTGCAGACCCACATCTTCTTTGCTGCAGCTCTCTCCTCATCATCATCAGTACAACTAAAGCCAGCACTTTTTGCTGTCATGTAGATAGAGCCATCGTGCATCCAAGTCTGCTGCTCAAAAAACTAGGTAATATCTGCTAACCATCTCCTGGAAAGCCTTTTGGTTGCCTAGCAACTGGCACCCACCATTGTGAACGATTTGTGCCCTCCTCCCCTGTGCTGTGCCCTCGAGTGCAGTGCATACCACATCCTATCTGAAAGCCCTTTAACATTTCAACTGAGGGAAATGCTCAGACATCATGACAAACACAGGTCTGTTCCTTGAAATCACCTCTGTCAGTCTCATCCGATGTCTCCTCCTCTGCCTCCTTCCTTTGGTTTTCCTCCAGGATTGGAGCTTTCCTGCTGTAGTACCCTCGGTCTTTCCACATGGCTGGAGCCACCACCCAGTCTCGCACTGGAACCTCAATGATGCGTTCACACAATAAAGGAAGCGCAGAGCATCGAAGACCCTCCAGCAGGTCAATGACCTGTGTTATACTGGATTACAGAGGGAGAGTCAGGCAGCATTTAAGTTTGGACTTCTGTTCCTGCAGATATACACCAATTTGACAAAGGTTAACCATAATATTTTTTTTCTGACTTGAGGAACAAAGTGGATAAAACTGCATTCACTGGTAGAGTACACCACCTCCTAATATTGCTACTCTCTGCTTAGTGGCAAATAAATACAATGAACAGCACAATTACACTTGTGTCACTGGTAATTTCCGCTGGACAGATTTTTGTTCTGAACCCCTTTAAATTAGTGTCATGATAAAATACACTATGAGCTTTGTTATGAAGGATGGCTTATGAAATGTGAAAGTTAGGCTTTATAAGGTATGTGCTACATTCTGAATGCTGTATACTTAACAGCACATACAGTATATTCTGCTGATAATACTTATATACTTAAAGGAAACTGCTGAATTCCACTCTCATGTTTGTATCTAAAAGGAAAGCTACCACCAGCACCAGGGTGGCTTAGCTTAATTTAGCATCCAGAAAGTTGCTGTGCCTGGCTTAGAAACTCTTTGACACAGAAATCCGACAATTTACACATTATATATTAGTCGGGATGAAACAAATAAGATACGACATGCTAATTAGCTAGCTTTTAGTTATTTCCAGTCTTCTTGCTATGCTAAGCTAACCGCCTGCTGGCTTTAGCTTCATACTTATCACACAAACATGAGAACGGTACAGATCTTCTCAGCTAACTCATGGGAAGAAAGCAGCTAAGTGTATTGTCCAAATTATTACATTTTTTCTTTGACGAAGATACAGCATGAAACAACTGCATGGTTTTAACCCCTCTGGTTTGAAAGGTGACAACGAAACAGCAGATATACACACTTGGCCAGGTAGACAGCACACACAGCTCCAGTGTGCAGATGTGGAAGCACTGTGGGTAAAACCAGCTGAGGGTGGATCAGGTCAAGAGCAACCTGCAGCAAACATAATCCATCCAGTGAGTTAGCTGATTTCAGAAAATGCCAGAGCATTAATATATCTGTCCTTTAGAACGGTTAGTGAATGAGGCCCACTGTCTCCATTTTGTTTGACAAATTGCAGCGATTGTGACACTGACCGCATGAAATCCATGACCAGCAAGGAGCCATGAAGCCGTGCAGAGGTCAGCATTGTGAAACTGCACGTTGTCGGGCCACTCCACCCCTCTGCGCAGACTCCACGATGTCCGCCAGCACTCGTAGTTCAATGTGGCTCTCTTGAGGTGGTCCTCCCTGATCTCCACACTCAGCACTCTGCCTTTAGAGCCCACTGCAAAAAACAACATCAACATATAGTTACAAAGAATTAAAAGAATACATTTTTTGGATCAATTTTTGCAAAGTTTAGTCAGTAGAACATAGGAAGCAGTGAAAAACCTGACCCCAATATTTCATTTCATTTATTAGGTTTTTGGTCAACAAGCAAAATTAGAATTGCAATTATTTTACACAAAAAAGCATGAAACATAAGGGTACATACATCCATTTGAATAAAAGCATGTATGCACACATACATAATCATA